AACAGTGTAGGAGGGTTCCCTTTTCTCAACACCCTCTCCAGCATTTATTGTTTGTAGATTTTTTGATGGCCATTCTGACCGGTGATACCTCATTGTAGTTTTGATTTGCATTTCTCTAATAATTACTGATGCTGAGTATCTTTTCATGTGCTTTTTGGCCATCTGTATGTCTTCTTTGTAGAAATGTCTATTTAGATCTTCCCCCATTTTTTGATTGGGTTATTTGTTTTTTGTATGTGCAGTTTTATATCTTGATTTTCGCAGTATATTTTAATGTAAACATGTTCCTGTGTTATAAACTCTTTGCTGAGTGCCAGATGCTGTGCCTAGCACATCACCCGCATGATCTCAATAATGCTCACATCCATCCTAAAACCAGGAGCTCATATTATTCTTGCTTTGCAGATGAGAAAACTGAGGCACAAAGAGTTTAAGTGTCTGGCCCAATGTGGAGGTGAGCACCAGGCTGTCTGGTTTCACAGCCCATACTATTTCTCAGGGATATATCTGTATCATGTTTTACTCAACCTTTCTTAGACACCTGTTGTTCCTCCCTGCCCAGCTTTCCTTCAACATTGCTTCAATTTTCCCATGGGGTCCCTGATTCCCACCCCCCAACCCATAATTCAACAGGTGCGGCTATTGGGTGGAGGTGAGCCCATGTCCTGAGTCTGACCAATCAGAGCCCCGGATCTCCCCAGCTTCCATGATTGGCTAAGGAAGGGGCACGTGATCCAGTTTGGTCCACGCAGGGATTGCTCAAAGGCAGGATATAACCTGGACCTGCTGCCAGCTGTCTTGAGAACGTGTGTGGGAAGTGGGGACAAAAGAAGGCAGAGGCAGAGGGGGAAAGACCACATCCTCTTGCAGCTTTTCAGATTCCGGATCGAAATGCACCCGAAGTGAGTTCTTGGGTTTTGATACTGGACTTCTCAGTTACCTGAGCCTTTTAATTCCCCAAAGCCTGTTCCAGTTGGGTTTCTGTCACTTGTAACCAAGAGCTCTTGGCAAGTACAGTTGGCCCTCCATATCAGCAGGTTCCGCATCTGTGGATTCAACCAGACTCAGATGGAAAATATTTGAAAAAAAAATTCCAGAAAGTTCCAAAAAGCAAAACTTGAATTTGCTGGGCTGGTGATTATTTACGTAACATTTGCCTTGCATTAGGTATTATAAGTACTCTAGAGATGATTTAAAGTATATGGGAGGATATGCGTATGTTATATGGAAATACGACACCATCTTATATAAGGGATTTGGGCATCCGTGGATACTCCAAGGCAGGGTGGTCCTGGAGCCAATCCCCTGATGATAGAATGGTGGGGGACAACTATAAACCCTGGTTGTTGGTCATCAGGCTTGCTTCTAGTTTTTCATCATTATAAATAATGCTGCAATGAACATCTTTACATATAGAGCTTATCCTCAACAAGAATTATTTCCTGGGGATATTTTCTCAGGAGTTACTTGGCAAAAGGCTTGAATATTCTCAGGGTTCTATAGACATTTTGCAAATTGTCTCCTCAAGGCTGGCAATGATTTGTATCCCTTACCTCCACTCCCCAACTGTGTCGGCAACTGTGATTTTTAAAACTGAGTCCTGAAGAGACTTTCTTAACAAGCCAAAGTTGTATTTGTTTTTTTAAACAGGAAAATTATGTTAATATAAAACGGATAAAAACAGACAAAAATCAAAACACACAACACGCAAGAGCACAACACACAGGACCAGTGCAAACCCTTCCCCACCCATTCCCCCCAGGTTTTGAAATCTTTATTACAGATCTCCAAAGATTAGACTGTATTGGAGAGGTCACAGTATTGAATCAGAAAAAGAGACATTTTTAAAAAGGTCTGTACACAGGTAGTGGGGTGGGGCGGGGGACGTACACTTCTTCACTCCAACATCAAATACACAATGCAGAAGGGTTTCAGTGATGAGCACAAATTTCTAGAACACTACCACGTATGCTAGTCCCCGGCCCACTTTTTAAAGTTGCTTTCAAAAAGGATTAAAAGTGCACAGACACTTTCATAAGGCACAGACAAATTGTTGTACAAGTCATCTCACTAGGGACTTGGGAAAGACGGTGAGAAAATTAAATACCGAGAGATGCCGGGAGGACACGTGTTCCTGAGCCGGAGTCCTTCTGCCAGAACCGGGTCAGAGACAGGATTGAGCAGCGGAAGGTGACTGCCTCTCATTCGCCAAGAGTTTGCAAAACCCTATTCTGGAACTGACTGGGGGTTCTCTGTCGACTTGGGGATTGATTGCCAGCCACCAGTCCCAAGGCCTGAAAGTAGCAGGTAGCTACCTCCCTGTGTCTCCCTGGCAAGACCTGAAGGCGATTATCGGTCGGTGGGGCTCTTGAGGGTTCTGTCCAAGGCCATTTCGGCAGCAACTCAGTGACTACGAGATGCCCGGCATTCCTAATTCAGAGAAGGCTTTCTGAAGTGTGCAGGGGGCTCTGGGTCTGGAAAGCAGTTGTGTACTCACTAAGATAGACCCCCGAGGCAACAGAATGGCCAGGAAAGCCCATGGACTCTGCCCCAAATGTCTCATAATATCACTCCCTCTGACATTAGAGCTGGGGTCCTGTCCTCTCAGCTCCGTCCTCCCAGCACCCCACGCCTGGTGGGCACTCAGCAAATGTCTGTTGAATGACTTTGCGTGCATGTATACATGGTGTTTTACCAAACCCTGAAGACTCAACCTGATTTCTGATTTACTCAGTAAATCTTTAACGAGTACCTACTAAGTGCTACCACAGGACCCAGCACTAGATGGGTCAAATACAAGTTTACAAATCTGCCCACCTCCTGCTCTGGACTGCGAGCTCCCTGCAGGCCTTGTCTTTAGACCCGGTTCCCATCCCTTTGTCCAGAACACAGGCCACGCTGACCAGTGGTTGTCGGATGACTGAAAAAGCATTGCTGTACTTAGGGGAGCAGCTGCCCTGGGTAGCTAAATCCCAGAAGACTCCCAGTTCTGAGAATGGGCTAGAAAAAGGAGTTTGTCTTGACTTGGAAACAGCTCAATTTCTCTGGTGGTTCAGAATGAACAGGCACCAGACCACAACAAAGGGGGCATCCTCTGGTCTTCCTGTCCTCGCGCTGGGGGCCATACTTAGGGGTTGGTGGTCATGAGGCCCAGGAAGGTGGTGGGACAAGTGTCTCCCCAAAGTTGCCTCTGATGGGCACCCCCATGTAACAGGAGGAGGCTTGGGTTGGACCCAAGCTCACACGTGGCTCAGCTCTGCCGGGAGAAGGTGGGCAGTAGGCAGATAAGCCTGAAAGGAAGGACACTTGTGCTCCCAGGGTTCCGGGCGGCACAGGGGCCGCATTCTGGGGCCGGAACCCTCACACAGGGGCGGGTGCCCAGCTCTCTCCAGGCGCTGACCAGGTGAGCTTCAAGGAAGAAAACTCAAGCAGTCTCGAGCTTTCTGGGCTCGGGGCCAAGCAGCAGAGAGCGTGGGTTTTGGCATCACGCGCTCCTGGGTTTGAAGCCCAGTCCTGTCACCTCCTGCTTCACTTCCAGCACCTTAGTTCTCTTACCTGCCAACTGGAGATAATATCGTATTTCACTGATTCTAGGAGCACAGCTTCTCCACTTATGTCGGAGTAAAATGAATCGAATAGCTGTGGCACCTTATAGTTGAAATCGGCAGTGTTTTTCCCTTATGGGTACATAGAATGGTGTGTTTTGTCATCAGTGGTGTCTTTGATACGACTCAATATGGTACTAAGACCTCCCTCACAGGATTGACATGGGGATGCACCTCTCCAGCCCAGTGCCGGGCACACAGTGATGCCAAATAAAGGAGAGTGGTTCCCTTCCTTCTTCCTCCTGCCCCCTCTCCAGACAGAACCTAGAGGGCGGTGTGGGCAGCTCCTCTGCAGCGCTGAAGAAATCAGTTTAGAGCATCAGGAAATGTCTGGTTTTTAGAAGATAAACACACCCTTAATTCCTCTTGGAAACAGGGAGGCTATTTATAGCAGCTGCAGAGCATGTTAAACAGGCCACCAGCTCCTTTCTTCCCAGGTAATAGGTCACCAGGCACATGGTCTGGTCCACCCTGGGTCCAGGCCCTCGATCCCTGGATTCCTGGCAGTGGTTGCACTGACCCTGGCTGGAACCCGAGGGGACAAGAGAGAGGAGCTGGCTCCCCCAGGCCGCCGAGACCACCGGGGCTTGTGACTATGGCTCAATCCAGTCAGTGGAGCTGCTGCCTGGAGAACCACGGTCCTGTGGGTGACTAGCCCTCTCACATGGGGCCTGTGCGTGGCCTTGCCCACACCCAGCACGTGGGGGAAATGGAAGGCTCCAGCGGACCAAATTCAGCTGGGTGCCGAGCGCCGCCTAGGTTTGCAAACTCTTATCTTGGCAAATGCTGGGGTGCCAGTCACTCCCCTAAAGATTCTGCTGCAAAATTAAAACCTGGGCATGTTTCCCAAGTTCATAAGGGAAAAAGAACTAATCAGGGATCCTTGAAGGGGCAAGAGGAGGGTTTCTGAAGTTGAGATCAGGTCGGAATACCAGGCAGAAGAGAAGCAGATGGTCCAAGACCTGGAGCATCACAAGGGCAAGGACTGACTGGCCTTATGGGCCTTGATCTGACGAGGGGGACCCCAGACACGCAACCAACACTTGTTACATGAAGGCAAAAACTCTGAATGTCCTCCCTTCCCTGCTTCCCTCAACAGAGGAACAGATTAAGAATTGGACTAAAAACAATACCTGCTCTTTGCAAGGTGTCTTGGGCCTTTTAAAATGTGCCAGTCCTGCCAAGAGCTCTGGAGTGAGCAGGTAGCAGGCTTCCTCTTGGACAGATCGGGAACTGAGAAACAGAGAGGCCCAGGGACCTCCCTAAAGGTACAGCACAAGACAGGGCAGAGGTGGGGCCCAGAAGGGAATTGCAGGCCTCCCAGCCCATCAGCTCAGGTGTGGTCCGGGAGTCTGCAGAGATGGGCCCAGGCAGGGGGGAGGGGGGAGGGGAGGGGGAGGAGGGGGTTGGGGCAGGGCCAGGGTCCCAGGAAGTGCCCAGCAAATAACCCTGGGGAGGGGGATAGTCCCAGTGTCAGCATTTTCAGCGAGTGTCTCAGTTCCTAGTTAACACCCTAATGAACAGTTAACATCTTAGTAATCACCAGGGGGAGATAAGCTGAGAATCAGGACAAAGACTGGTTGCAAAGCCCTGCTTCCTTCCCCTACTTGGCCAGCAGGTCATCCTGGTGATGCCCACAGCCGTTGGCAAATGCCAGGCCCCGTATTTCAGCAGGAAATATGGAGAGCTTCGGAGTGACCCTTTCCAACCCCAGGTGGCTCACCGGCATCTAGGATTCTTTCCCCCTGCCCCAGGAAAAGGGAACCTGTTGCTTGTCTTCTCCTTGGAGACGGTGAGGATGCTACAGACTAAAAGCATATAGGGATGGAGTCAAGGGGTGGTGTGCTTGTAATTAGGCTGTCTGGGGCTGAAGGGGTGACAAGGCTTCTGGAGAAGACACCGCCCAGAGCTCTGGCCCCAGCACCCAGTCAAAACTCCTCTCCAAGACTGAGTTAGAAACTGAAAAAGCAAATTGTTCTCTTATGTTCTCCGCCCAACTACTCCCCAAGGAGTTGCCGCTTCGGAGCTGTAAACAATGAGCTATTTTTTCCTCGCCTTAGAAAATCTGAGTGTCCCTTTTCTATACCACCTGAGGGAGTTCTGTTTAGGTGCAGGCTTTGTACATTCAAAACCAGCTGACGTCACAGCCCTGTAAAGTGAACAACTTCTAGTCACGCTACCGTCTGGGCTCCGGATTGCACATTCCTTAGTGTTAAATAACCTCCTAGAGCCAGGATCCCTGGATAAATACCTACACGTTCTCTCTAGGTCATTCTCACACACTTGCCCTCTCTGGACTGTCTCCCTCCCTCCCCTCCCCCTCTCTCACACACACTCAACCCAACCCCAGCAAAAGGCATTGCACACAGGACGCCATATCTCAGCTGAGAGGTCACCGGGGGACAGGGCAGTCTGCCAGGCAGTTCCTGAGCTCGCTCTTGGGACGGCCTTTTGGGGGCAAAGCACTTTCGAGCCAGAAGCAACCCTCACTTGGACTGAGACCCCCGGGGGCCTCGTGTCCACGAGTGTCACGCCTTGCCCACCACTGGAGAGCGGCAGGCAAGATAGCTGCTGCCCTTGGACTCCCCGGCGGCCATGGTGGTTGCCCGGCCCGGGGTGGGGGTGGGCTTCAGAAAGGTGACCTTGCTCTGGTCAAGGCCGTCGGCGGGCCAGGCTACGGCCTGTAGATCTTAATGACGTCCTTGATGGGCCGCCGGCAGATGGGGCAGGAGGCCCGGGCCTGCCTCTTGAGCCGCAGGCCGCAGCCGTGGCACAGGCACATGTGTCCACACGTGTAGATGACTGTGTCCACTTCGCCATCAAAGCACACCGCGCACTCGCTGTTCTTGCTGCCCGCCAGCTCCGGTGGGGAGAACACGGGGGACACTGGTGGGCTCAGTGGGGAGCTGGGGGCCGTCACTGCAGAAAGGGAGAACAGGCAGACCTTAATCCGTGGTTCTCAGGTGGGCTCTGCTGGGGCAATCCCAAGAAGGCAGGGCTTCTATGGCAGAATCCATGGGGGGACAACTTTGGGAGACACCAGTTTTGGTTATTCTCCTGGGTTTTGCCCCCTTTCCTACGCTCCTACCCCCAAGCATCAAGCACCATTATCACCCTCTGGGATGCCATATCCAGATGTTTCTCCTCCCTACAGCTGAAGAAGGAAAGGATGCGGGGGAAAGGCAGCCACCTTATTTAGCCCCAGGAAGGGCTGGTACAGCCACCAGGGCGAGCCCCTGTCTCCCTGCACCCTCCACTCCCCCATCCCTGAAGGTTTGCCCTTCCTTACCCAGGGATGATTCAGATGCCGAGGAGGACTGGTTGACACTGAAGGCCATGTCGGAATCGCTATCGTCCTGGGAGCCACTGAGGGATCCTGATGGGGATGTGGTTGCAGGGCTGGACTGCAGGGTGCCTGAGACCAAAGAGACTCCATCAGGGGCAGTGGGAGGTGGGCTCTGCTCTGCTAGTCCCTGGCTCTCCACTGCTTTGCACCTTCACGTCCTCATGTATCTAATGGGAGGACAAGAGCTACCTCACAGGGTTCTGCTAAGAACTGATGGAATCGTACATGTGTGATAGACATCTGGTCTTTGCTGCCTAGCCTCCATTCTTGTTCATTTCAGAAACAGCACTGGAATTTTGTTTGAGGCACTACTTCACCCTCACACACACGATCTAGGCCAGGCCAATAAGAACTTCCACCCTTGGTCTCAGTGGTGGTTCAAACAAGGCCTGCAAGGCCAAATTCTGTGACTTTTACTAGAACTACTAGGAAAGAAGGGGCCCATTCCATTGGGAGGTGAGCCTGGTGCTGTAGGGCCTGCCTGAGAGTCAAGCCAACACAGAGGAAAGTACAGCTTTCAGGTGGAATCCTGATGACATCCTTTCAACACCTAGATCCAGCTGTTCCTGAATCCATCCAATATACTCCCAGACTTCTGAGGCATGTGTGTACCCCCCCAAATTCCTTTTTTGCTTAGGGCACTGTGAGTGGGGTTTCGTTACTTGCAACTACAAGACTCCCAACTAGTGTTCAACATGGATGGGTCTTCTTCCCTGAACTCACTGTTGGTTCAGATAATGATGGGTTATCTCTGATGTGAAGAGACATGCCCCTTCCCTTACCCTACTTGAGGATGGATGGACAGATTACAGAACCAGGGTTGCTGTCAGACGGGGATCAGGAGGGCAAGTCCCTGGCCTCTAAAAGCAGTCACTTCCTTTCTAGCTTCTCCTGCCTTCTCTTCCTGACCACTCAAAGGCTCATCGTGGTTCTTCTGGAGGTGCTGGGGAGGGGGAGAGAATGACTCTAGGCTTAGTTCTTGCAAAGCCCCAGTGGGAACTTGGACAACTCATCTCAGGCTGAAATGATGACTATTGTCTGATGGTCCCTTAAAAAAACAAAAAACAAAAAACAAAACAAAAAAAACCCCAAACCAACCAAATTACAACCACCACTACCCTGTTCCTCCTCTGTCCTCAGTCAAATAGCAACAGTCACTGTCGTGACTATTGCTACTTATTAAACATGCCGCATGTGGCAGGCACCTGCTTAAAAGCATTACATGCACCTCATCATTTCGTCCTCACAACAACCCCACGATGCACGCCATCACTCCCTTTCTACACTGAAGGGAACTGAGGCTCAGGGATTCTCTGATTTGCCCAGCATCTTCATGGCTGACCAGCCACGTGACTGGGAGTTATTTAATCTCCCTGTGCTTCAATTTTCAGGAGGATAAAACTGAATGAGGTGACATATGAAATGTTCATCGTTTCTGTTATCGTTTGGACTTTACTTCTTGAAACACGAACATGGAGCTGTGCTCTCTGGGAACCTTCCCTGAGCACCAGCCCCGCTCCACCAAGCTGGCGAGAAGAGAAGCCCCTCTGCTGTAGCGAACACCACACCGTGCAAATCTCCATTTGGGTGTCTGTGAGGACGTGAGGGCGCTCCACGGTCTGTGTCCTCTCCTCTGCCGTGCCCCATCCCACGAGCTCAGGGCCTGGCCCACAGCTGGAGGAGGGTGCTGCGTGTCTATTTGTGGCGTGAATGAAGGCAAGACTCAATCTCAAAACGGGATGGTTCAAGCCTGCGTTCCACTTTCTGTGGACGGTGTTATTCTCATTTTCCTATTTTAAATGTAGTTGTATTTTCTTTTTCTCCTACACTTAATATACATTACATATGTAAAAATATTTATAATAAATCATAATAATGGAAATAAAAATTGCACAGACAATTTACCTGCCAGGCTCTGACACCAGCGGGTACTTGGGTTGGTGTGGACAAAGTGTGGTCCAGGGAGCTGCGACAAAGGCATCCCCGGGGCACTGGTTAGAAATGCATCTTCTCAGGACCCACCCCCACTGAATGGGAAACTCTAGGTGGAGGCCAGGTGGTTCTGATGCGCGCTCAAGTTTAGGGGACCACCGGCTGGCCTTCAGCAGTGGCTCCGGCTACCTATCCAGTGGCGCCAGGATTCCCGGGGTGAGCCCCGCAAAAGCGCGGTCGGGGGACTCACCGAGGAGGCGCAGCTGGCCTGCGGCGCCGCCGCTCACGGCGAAGAAGGCCCAGAGCGCTTGCGTGGTGTCGACGCACAGCAGGCGGTCGCGCGGGCGCCCATTGACGCCCAGGAGCACGTCGCCGCCGGGCCGCAGAGTGAAGCTGAGCGCGTCGCCTCCGCTCGGCACGGGCCCGGCGCGCGCCACCACCCAGTACTCTTTGCGGTCGAGCAGCGCGTAGGGGTCGGTGGGCAGCTCGGCGGCCCGGAGCCCGCCCGGGTCGCATGACGTGATGCCGAAGGCCAGCGCACCGGGCGCCGCCAGCCCCGGGCGGCCCACCTCCACGAAGAGGCTCTCGCCGGGCCGCAGCGGGCGCTCGGAGAAGACAAGCGTGCGACCGCCGTCAGGCCGCGGCGCGCAGGCCACCTTGCGGTCGAGCGACAGGCTCACGTCGGGCCCGCGCGTCGCGTGGAAGCGCAGGTCGGCTTCTAGCAGCGCCGGCGACGACGAGGGCCGCGGGCGTTCGCGGGGCCCGCACGGGATGGCGGCGGCCGCGTGGTCGGCGAGCGGCGGGCCTGGGGCGCGGCCCAGAGCCAGGTGGCCCAGCTTGGCCACAACCTGGTTGTTCTCCAGCTCGTTGTTGTCGAAGTTAGCGGCGTCGTGGCTGCTGGGCGGCAGGCACGCGCTGAAGCGGGCCTGGCCGAGGCGCGCGGGTGTCAGCGTGTCGGCGAACCCGCTCTCTGCGCGGGGAGGGCAGAAGAAGGGCAGTGAGGGCGCAGCCGGCCAGGAGCCCCCGCCTTGCCCTCCCCACGCCCCCACCCCCACCTGAGCCCTCCCTTTCTTCTTCTGATTCCTTCGTGAGGTTATTTAAGATCCTCAGGTGCACAGAATTGGATCAAGCATCATCCCGAGTGCACCTGACTATTCTTATCTTTGGGACGGGCAGATGAGGCCCTTCCTCCCTTTTTCCTCCCTCCTTCTCGTACTCCCATCCCTCCATCCTTTCCTCTCCCTCTTTTCTGTCTTCTCGTCTCCCTTTTTTTCTTTCCCCCTTCTTCCTTCCTCCCACCCCCCTCAGAGGTTTTCATACTTTTGAAGATTTTTTTTCTTTTAATTGGTGTTAGTTTCTGCTTCATAATAAAGTGAATCAGCTACACATACACATATTTAAAGGGCATTTAAAAATCATTATTGTCTGCTTCCCCAACTAGAACATAAGCTCCAAGGGAAAGAGCAAACCCTTGGGTTTGTGGCCTTACTGTGTGACAGGTTATTTTAAGCTCCTTTTCACAGGTTCTCATTTAGTCCTCATACAACCTGTGAGGTGTGTACTGTTATCACCCACCATTTGGTAAAGAAGGGAGCTGAGGCACAAAGGGGCTAGGGAGCACGACCAAGGTTGCACAGCAATTAAGTGGCAAAGTCAGGACTCGAACCCGGGGCTGTCTGGTTCCATGCTGCTTCTGAAAGAAGGCGGGGCATGGGCCTGTCCTCACTGCTGTGTCTGCAGCAGGGAGCACAGTGCCTGGGTGCTACCCCACCTTTGAATGTGTAAGGTTTCTGCAAGAAATGGCCTCATTGTATAGGACAGGAAACTAAGGGGGAGTGTTTTAAAAGTCACAGTCATGAAAATATTTTTGAATAATTTTTAGTAACATGAAAAAATGCTCTTGATCTATATTAAGTAAAAAAGCAAATAAAAATAGTGTTTGTCATCCAGCTCTTCATACTTTGGTATCAACAGATTACTTGTTGACTGTCCCTATCTAGAATGTGAGTCCCTGGAGGGCCGTGTCTGTGACAGTCTGTTCACCACCAAGTTTCAGGGCTTAGCAGAGTGCTTGGCAGATAGCCTTCATTATTATGTAGTTTACTGGATGAATAAATGAATGAGGTCTCTAGCAGAGACTGACTGCCTCTCTGAATAACAAAGATATCAGGGAAAGAAAGTATTTTGAAGTTGTTTTTGTGATCAAAATTTTCTTGTTAACCAAAGCAAGTAAAGGAAGCAAGAAAAAGTGTTACTCAGACTTTTTAAACCAAACCACTCTAGCTAAGATTTTGTTACCATTCTGTAATTTATATCATGGGGAAAAAAATATTTCTTCCTCTTTAGTTTTCCAAATATAAAATTAAATCATAATAACAAACATGGTTTTGCAAAAAACATGCCCTAACCCCTGGTGAGAGCCTCATATGTTACTCCCTACCCCTGCTCCACACAGGGCAGTTTGCAAACTGGCCATCCAAGTTCTGATGCTGGCTCACAGACCTGTCTGGTTGGCCTACTGGTGTTTGGGTTTTTTTTTTTTCTTTTTTTTAACTTTTTATTAAAAAAAACCCAAACATACAAATAGTATAATGAATGCTGTTTACCCAGATTCAACAATTACCATTCATGGCCAATCTTGTTTCACTGACGCCCCCATCAGTTCTCCCTCCTATATTATTTTGAAGCAAATCCTAGACATGCCATTTTATCTCAAAAAATTTCAGTATGTCTCTCTAAAATTTAAAGACTTCTTGTCATACTGTGTGTGAGAATATGCTTTTTTCCCAGTTTCTTTGAATGAAGGGCCAAATAAAGCCCACTCATTGTCACTGGCCTCTTTTAAGCTATGGTTGCCTCTTCTTTTTTCCCCTTCCAGGGGTTTGTTGAATAAATCACCCCTTGGTCTTTCAAAATATTTTTTGGACTAGTGGCCAGTACTTAAGAGTCAGGAGATTCACTTTACACTGGATTTATAGCCTCTCTTGGAAAATCAGGTCTAGTGACACAGGACCTGAATTCTTGCCTGTCATCAATGGGTTACAGCTTGCCCTTTTGCTGAGGTTGTTTGCTCTCCTTCCCCATGGCCCTGAGCTGGCCCCTTCACCCATCTCAACTACTTGCTTGGGATCTGTGGACATTTGAATTTGTCTTGCGTTAGTGGATGCTTCCCCATAACCTGAGGGAAGAAGTAGGATTTCAGTTTGGTCCTTTTAAAAAGTATGTATGTGTGCATGTGTCTGTATGTATCTGTCTATAATACTATATGTGCATAGGAAATCAAGTTCTAGAGAGACAACAAAATGTTAATGGTCATTATGTCTCAGGTGGGTGAGGTTATGAGGGATTTTCTTCAGATTTTTCTGTATTTTCCAACTTTTCTACAGTAAACATATACACTGCAAAGTTTTATCATCAAAAACCCCAAAATTTTGAAAAATCAAGTTTTCAATTAATATTTAACAATGAGGGGAAAATGCCCGTGATATAATATTAAATGAACAGCTGAGGATACAAAACCGAATATATGATTTGATTCTAATTATGTGGGAAATATATGCATGGGATACAGAGGAAAGACATAGGAAGGAAATACATAGAAATTTGAGGGTGGTTATCTCTGGGTGGAAATTTGCTTCTTTATGGTTTTCAGATTTTCTCATTTTTCGCTAATGAACATGCACTGATTTTGTAATCAGAAAAAAAACATGCATAAAAGCAGACTAAAACAAGCACTTTTTTTGAAAAGGCATTTTAGACAAGTGGATGTTTCTGGGAGCCTCTTGGCGTAATGCATTTTCCCAGGGCTCGCTGCCCTACTACAGTCATCCTGCGAGGCCAAGCCTAAAGGCATTAGCCATGGCTTGCCCTGGGCCTCTGCTCTTGCCAACACACTCTGCTTCGGTCCCCCACCCCCAAAGCTTTTCCTCCCGGCCCCTAACAGCTCCACGTAAGAGCCTGTCCTTCAGTATAGCATCCTAATTGAGAGCGTGGCTTGGAGATGGGTACACTTAGGTTCGAGTCTTGGCTTCAGCCCTTCTTGGCTATGTGACTTTAGGTAAGTCACTTTACCTCTTGAAGTCTCAGCTTCCTCAGCTTAAATATCGTATATGAACGCATATATGTGGAACCTAGAAAAATGGTACAGATGAACTGGTTTGCAGGGCAGAAATTGAGACACAGATGTAGAGGACAAACGTATGGACACCAAGCAGGGGAAGGGGTGGGGGCGGGGGCGGTGGTGGTGGTGTGATGAATTGGGAGATGGGGATTGACATGTATACACTAATATGTATAAAATAGATAACTAATAACCTGCTGTATAAAAAAAATAAAATAAAATTTTTTTAAAAAATGGAATAATGATGATACCTGCCCCCCACACTCCCACCCATGTTGTTATAGAGATTAAATTAGATGCTTTTATAAAGAGTCTAGCACAGGGGTCTCAACCCCTGGGCCACGGACCCGCTATCAGTCCCCATGGCCTGTTAGGAACCAGGCCGCACAGCAGGAGGTGAGCAGAGGGCAAGCGAGCGAAGCTTCATCTGTATTTACAGCCGCTCCCCATTGCTCACATTACCGCCTGAGCTCTGCCTCCCGTCAGATCAGCGGCGGCATTAGATTCTCATAGGAGCGCCAACCCTACTGTGAACTGCACATGCGAGGATTTAGGTTGCACGCTCCTTGTGAGAATCTAATGCCTGATGATCTGAGGTGGAGCCAAGGCGGTGATGCAAGAGCTGGGGAGCGACTGCAAACACACATTATCATTAGCAGAGAGGTTTGACTACACAGAGACCATAATCAATCAATGCACTTGAATCATCCGGAAACCATCCCCCCACCACCCGGTCCGTGGAAAAACTGTCTTCCACGAAACCAGTCCCTGGTGCCAAAAAGGTTGGGGACCGGTGGTCTAGCACAGAGCATGGCACAAAGTGCTCAAAACACGGTAATTATCATTATTCCTTAAACGTCTATTAACAAAATGTATAGAGCACTTGCCATGTGCCAAGCACTGTGCTGGGCACTGGCTGAAGAGGAGAACAAGCAGGCATGGCCTCTGGGTCCATGGAGCTCTCATTGCAGTGGGAGAGACAGATTTTAATGAAGCAACTGACAGAAAACTAACTCTTCTTCCAAACTGTGATGACTGCCACCAAGAGCTGCCGTCTCACGATGCTCTGAAAGACGGGCACATTCCAGTGGGGAACTCAGACTCCGAGAGGCAAGGTGAGTTACTCCAAGTCACACAGCCAGGAAGTGATAGAACTGGGATTCTCTGTGTATGTCAAAGGGGGACTTGGTCAGAAGTGGGGCCTGAGAGTGGGTCAGAACAGCCCAGTCTCTGATCACGGAGCTATGACACGAAGGCTGAGGGAGTGGTGGCGGGGAGGTAGAGAGTAAGCATTTCAGGCAGAGGGAACAGCATGTGTGAAGTCTCTGAGGCGGTGAAAGCTATGTTTTTGAGGCTGGTGTTACAGAGTATGTGACAGCACTTAACCCGGGACCTGGCAAACAGTAGCCCCTTGGAAAAGCTTGGGTCTCCTTCCTTTATATAAGGAGCTTTGTCCCTATCAGGCATTGTCCCTGAGTGAGACAGGCCCAAGATAGCAGAGTGCTGGCCTAGGCCCGACCCTTCAGAATCCACCTCTCAAAGCTTCTCTATGGAGAATCAGCCAGCTGGCTACAGGCAGAAATCCAGCCACATCAAGAGGCCATCAAGGAAGCTTATCAGAACTTCCTGGCTCTAACCTGTGACTCGTCTCCAAATCCACTCCCTGGACCTGATGAAAGTATACACAACCATTTACTTGAGCACCTACCAGAAGCACCTCCCTGCACTCATTACCCTTATCAATCCTTACCACTATCCCATGCGGCTCTGCAAAATGGGCATATTTCATAGTGGGGAAACACCGAAGCTTTGAGAGATGAAGTGAGTTATTCAAGGTCACACAGCCAGCG